GGGGGGTATTTTTTTTAAAAAAAAAAAAAAAAAAAAAAAATCAACAACCAAAATTCCAACCTTGTAGCTTGGGTCTGAGTTATAGTTTATATAAAAATTAAAAACTGTATAAGGTTTCATCACTAAATTCTACAGGGCTATCGGATACCTAGCATATGCTTACAAAGTCGGCCCCATTCCCTTTTCCCAATCCTAGGGCCCAAGCCCCAACCAGAGCCTGACTCATAAGAGCCAATCTCCCCCTCCCTGTAGCCTAGACCTTTTGCTCTTGGAAAAGGAACATCCAATGGCTGTGGTTTTGGGGGCAGCAAGCCCGGTCTCCCCACTGCCTGATTTAATTACAGTGGTTCCTGTGGGTGTGAGGGGGAAGATGGATGGGTGGGTGTTATTCTCTTAAACATTTGCAGCTTGAAACAGTTGAGGAAGCAGCTTAAAAAAAAAAAAAAAAAACTCCCTACCCCCATCAATCCACAACCCCCCAAATTCAAAAACAAAACAAAAACAAACCTAAAATCACAACAGTGACTGACCGTGCTCTCCCTCCAGCAGGCCCACCCATCCACTGCCACCAAGCCCACCCCTCCACTCCACTCCAGACATTTGATTCTTGAAAATAGTAATTACAAAATGCCCTTTGCCCACAGCCCCTAGAAGAGAACTGCATATAAACTTCATCTTCATCCCATGGCTCCCTACCAGAGAGGGATCTCGGGCCTTAGCCACCCCTACCTACCCCTGCCACCAGGAAGAGGTTCAACTGCAGCACTAGCTTGGGCGGAAAGGGGAGGAAGAAGGGAGGCAGGGGACCCATCACCCTCTGGCTTCCCCTGGGGCCAGCTCACTTTTGTGCGTTATAACATAGTCCCAACTATACAACAGGGGGTGGGAATCGCCCAGCCTCTATACCCCCACCTTACAGCAGTCACAGCCAGGGGGTGGGGAGGGGGGGGTGAGGAAAAGGGCGGTAGGTTGGGTAATGGAGAGGGCCCCCCCACAAGGGGAGCTCCATGTGTCCGCCCCATGCCCCCCTACCATTTATAAACTGGTTTTGTAAAAAGAAAATAGATATATTTATATAGAATATATAAAGCACAAAAATTAGTAGTTTTACATTTGCTCTCCCCGGGGGTGGGGGGAGAGGGGAGGGTTCTCACCTCCAGCCGGCTCCCCCATGCCCCACAAGACTATGTACAATCCCATGTATAAATAGATAAATACCCCCCACCCTCCCCGCGCTGACACTAAGCTCCCCAACCCCCACGTCACCACCCCCTTCCCACCAGACCAGCAGCAGTTTGGTGACTGAGGGAAAGTGGGAGCTCCGGGCCACACCCTGCCTCACTAGGTATGGGCATGCCACTTGGACAGCCCTCACCCTACCCCCCATCTGCCCCATCCAGGGGCCGGAGGGCTAATGGGCTCATGATGGGGTTGAGTTAACAGGAGGGAAGATAACCTGGTCCTAAGTTAGCACACCCCCTCCTGCCCCCATGTCCAGATGGAGAAGGAAGTCCTAGAGCAACTAGGGGCCAGTCATCCCCAATCTTCATCATCATTAGCCTCAACCATCATCCCATGCCCATAATTAAAAACGAAGATGGATTTTTTGTTGTTGTTTTTTTCTTCCTCCTCCTACCCCCCCTTCCACCCACTCAGAAGAGGGCAGTGAGGTGGGGGGAGAGGGTTGGGGCAGTGAGGGGCTTGGAGAGGGTCTCACATTTCAAAACAGCAAAAAATCCAACACTTAAATGAGGTAGGTGTGGGTGCGGGGTCTCCTTGCCCGGCTTGCCTGGCTTGCCCTCATGGACAGCTGGGCACCTCTTTCCCGTTCATGTTGCATTTGTCAGAGTGGAAAACAAGGAAACTCAACCCATAGAGAGACAGAGACACAGAGGAGAAGAGGGAGACAGAGACAGATTGAGAGGGAAAGGGATGGGCGTGAGGGTGGGGGCAGGACCCGGCAGGCAGGGCCAGGTGTGGGACCCGGCCTTTGGGATTGTCAAGCTTAGTCAAGTCTCTTTGCAGCCTTGAGTTGGGCCGGAGAGGTCAGTGGGAGCAGCAGGGCTGTGAGGCCCAACCACACATCCTCCTCCCCGCTCCCTGCTGCCTCCCAGATGCTTCTGGGTAGTTCCCGGCCCATATCCCCCTCAAACCTGAGATGCCCAATGGCTGCTTCTGTCTGGCCCCTCCTGGAGCTGGGGGCAGAGATGCCAGCCTAGGGGCCGGTGGCAGGGAAGAAGGTTGTCCCTGGTGCCCAGGGTGGGCTTGGCCTAGGGCCCTCTGCCCCAGCCTCCTGCTCCAGGGGCTCCGGTCAGCCGGCAGCCCCAGCCCTGGGTCCTGGCTCTGGCTGCTACTGCTCTTCCCCCTCATCCCTTTCAGGGAAGAGGTTGTAGGTGGGGGGACTCCCCTGCCTGGTAGCCTCAAAGCTTCTTAGTTCATCCATTTCCGACAATTCCAGGCTCCACAGTGGCAGGGGATCTTGTGCTGATCGTCCTCAAAGTCAAACTGATAGTCATAGGTCAGCTGGAAAGAGAAGAGGGCAGACTCAATGCCAGCTCCCAATAGAAAAATCTGAGAGCAGTGGCCTTGAAAGCTAGTACCTGGGGAATAGCAAAGTAGGAGGGGAGGGGGCTTCCTTCTTACCTCCTCTCCTTTGGGGATTCGCCGGCTGGAGATGATGATGATTTTGTCCTCTTTGTCAAATGTCACAACTTCCGCCACACAATTTGGGGCACAGGAATGGTTAATGTACCTGGGTAGTGGGACAGGATAGGGATAATGTTGTTTCTTTGTTGGCCCACCTCGAGGGTCCGCTAAATCCTTTCTTCATTCTTCTCTTACCTGGCAGGGCCTCCGGTCAAGGTAGCATCAATCACATGCTCATTGTTTATCCGGAACATATAGATGCCTCGGTTCTAGAAAGGTACAAGAGTATCAAAGAATGGCAGAAGCAGTTGGGCAGACTGTAGCAGTGTGCCTATCTTGCATGCTCTTTGCTTCTCTTGCCTCCTCCCATAGCATTCTCTGCTCCCCTGGACCCAGTCCTGTCCCTTGCAATTTGGCTAAGCCTGACTCACATACCACACTGCCTCCTCTGCAGACACATTACCTGCTCTTCATAGATTTTCTCCCGCCGGTTGGCCACCTCATTGCGAATGATAGTGCCAATGTATTCGATGACCATTGTGTGCTTCTCTAGGTCTTTGGCTGCATAGAGCCCTAGGCCCTGGATCCGGGAACGAGCCAGATAGACATTGTTCTTCCACTCTGTGCGCAGCCGCCGGTACTGAGATGACTTGGAGTGCACAAACTGCTTGCTGTATGGGGTGTTGGTTTCGCCTGTGAAGGTGCTCTGATATGCCTTGGACATGCTGGTGCTGTTCAGGGTGTGGGGCCTGGGAGGTGATACAATCCATGACAACCCAGTTCTCCCTGGGACCAGATGCACACCACCCACCTCCTCCCAGCCAGTTAGGGCTGAGTGCTGCCAGCAAGCATTGCCAAGTGCTGCCTTGGGAATGGAGTGGAGGCATCTGGGTCTCTGCTGTGGTGAGGCAGCAACTAACTACAGGGGCCCCGCCAGCACCCTGGGGGCACAGAGAGCCCAAATGGGGTAGGCATGTAGGGAGAGGGAAGCATAATTCCCCTACACTGAGCCTGCTCTCCCACTTCATTGCCCTTTACCACCCTCCTGCCAAACAATGCTCAAGTCCACACTCCTGGGGAGGTACTCCCCAAGCAGCCTAGGCCTGGAATTGTAGCCAACCATTTGTTCAAATGTCTGAGTCCTGCCTCCTGGAACACTGGAAACCTTAAGAATAGGGCCTGATTTGAATTGAAATTGGCTGTGAATTCACAGCCTAAAGGTGGTAGGTATCCTTTCCTTTCTCCACACTGGCCCCTCCTCTGATAGAACTTCGGACTCTGTGCAGACGGCTCAGTGCAGGGGAATGACTGCAGCCTAGCTAGTGCCGTTCACCACCCTAGGGCACCAGCCAAATTCTTACCCATCCCAGAGCAGCGGTTTTCAAACATTTTGGGTTCTTTTTAATTTTGCCGAAATCTTTTTGTTTTTTCTTTGACAAAAGGTTGATTGGAACTCTAATAAATAAACTAGATAGAAATGGAGTTCTTTGGGTTGAATCCAATTTGGGGAAAGGGGATTGGAGGAACAGGGAGGGGCAAGTTCTGCCCACACAGTCTATGTGTTCCAGGGCTTTGGGAACACATAGACTTGCAGTTTGAAAACCACTGTCGTAGAGCACCAAGGACTAGGGCTGACCAGGGATAGAGTCTCTGACACTACGACAGCTCTAGGAACAACCAAATGCTGCCATGGACTCTGCCTCCCTCTCCCCAGGGAAAAAGGCCAGGCTACCGTGGAACACAGAATGGACAGTGAGCCACAGCCAGGAGGCAAATTTCGGCCCCAGCTGTGTGACCTTGGTCTAGTCACTTAACCTTTCTGGGTCTCAGTTTTCTCAGCTGTAAAATGGGGGTCATACCACCTGCCCTACCTACCTCATAAGGTTGTTGTGAGGATCAAATGAGATAATGGATGTGAAAACGCTTTGAAAAAAAAAGTATAAAGTGCTATACAAATGTAAGGTTTTATTATTTTTCTATCATACTTCTAATTATTTAGTTTTGGTACCAACTCAACTCAGCCTGGGGAAGGGAAGGTGATTTGGGAGAATCATAGGCCCCCCCTAGAAATAAGAAAGGAGAGGGAAAAGGTGACTGGGTCCCTGTGACGTTTCATATAATCTTACCACAGTCTACCCAGAGCCTCCCCCACATCCATTCCCAGGATGCCCAAGGTAACTGTCCTAGACCCCAAGCCTCCCCAATACAGGTGGGTAGGGTAGCTGAGGAAAAAAGGGTTACCCTCATGGTATCTGTGCACCCTCTAATCAGCAGGCCTGAGTGAACCCCCACTCTCTCCAAGGAAATTCTTTTCTCATCTGTACCCCAAACCACCCTCCTAATGTGGCATGAGGGGCCTTACCAGTGCCCACATCCCTTGGCCCCAGTCCTGCAGGCTCACCGTTTGTAGTGTGTGAGGATTTTAGGCTCCGATCGGGCACAGCCAGTGGGGTTGATCATGAGTGGCAGCTCCATTAGAGGGTGGCGCCCATAGCGGAATAAATAGTTTTGACAGCTCTCCACCCCAGGCAGCTGTGGACACAAGTTGTGCTCACCTTAGCCTGAGCTCTTTCAGGCCAGGACAAAAGATCTCAGTGACCCCCCACCCCCACCCCCCACCCCCGGGGTCCCCTTCCTTACTGATTCAGCTATGCGAAGCACAGCATGCACCGTCAAGCCAAAGAGCTCTTCGCCTTTCAGGTACTCAGGAAAGAGCCGCAGCATGTCGGCCTCTTTTCTCATGGCAGCCACAGGCTCGATGATACGATTCCACACAGCTACGAGGCAGGGCAAGAGTTTAGCTCTCAAAGGCAAAATCTGTTCACCGACCTCTAGACCTAAGTCTTCACACCTCCCAGTTACACAGATGGCTCTTCAGTACTCCTTCTTGGCCTCCTATTCTCACTCTCCCTCAGTAAGCCTGGAGGCTTTGGAGCATGAGAGAGCCTTTAAACACAGGAACATGAGTCCAGGACTCAGGAGACCCTGCACAAGCCAGGTTCCTTATTGCAAGCCAGCAGAATAGGCATGCTTTAGAGTTGGGAAGACTTACATTCAAGTTCCAGTACTTGCTATGTGACTTGAGTCTAATACTTGATCAATCCAGTTCTTTAAATACATGCTGAGCCTAATAAGAGTACTTACCTCATATGGTTAGATGAATGAAACAACCTGCGTCAATCACTTAGTTTAGTTTGTAGCATGTAATTTATGTTTAACTAAGGAGCTCTGGTAGCGCAGTGGTTACGAATCGGGCTGCTAACCTCAAGGTCGGCAGTTCAAAACTACCAGCTGTTCCACGGAAGAAAGATGAGGCTTTCTGCTCCCGTAAAGATTTGCAGCCTCGGAAATCCTGTGCAGGGTCACTATGTACTTTAAAACAACTCCACAGTACTTTAAAACAACAACAAATGGCACCTACTCTTATTGTTATTTTTATCATTAATACTAAAACTACGATCAAAAGAATTTTGTCCAGGGAAAAGCAACAAGGAACTCTTGGTCAGGCTCAGGCTGGGTGGATCAGATGACAGGGCCTCAGAACTGTAAACTTTAGTTCTACTGAGGACAGAAAAAGGAGCCAGAATATGTGATGGTACATAAGGAAAGCATTTATTACATGGGAATTTAAAGGGACTGAAAGAGGCTGGGAGGTCCTGGTGTGGCACTATAGGATAAGCACTGGATTGCCAACTGCACGGTCAGTGGTTCAAACCCACCAATCACTCCTTGGAAACACTATATAGGGTTGCTGTGAGTTGGAGCTAACTTGACAGCAGTTAACAACAAGAGGCTGAGGAACCCTGGTGGCATGTGTTAAATGTTGTACTGCTAACTGCAAGATTAGCAGTTCAAATCCAAGGAAGAAAGATGAGACTGACTGTCTACATCCATAAAGACTTACAGTCTCGGAAAGCCACACAGGGTCATTATGAGTTGACATCAACTCGATGGCAGTGGGTTTATTTTTTGGTTTTGAGAGAAGCTGAGGCATCCCCTGGGTGGTGCAAGCAGTTAAGCACTAGGCTGCTAACCCAAAAGTTGGTGGTTTGAGTTGGCAGGAGGGCTAACAATTTACCTATCTCTGATAACTAAGCCATTTGAAAACCCTAAAAAACAGTTCTTTTTGACACATATGGGGTTGCCGTGAGTCAGAACTGATGCTAGATTTTTGCTTTTTTTTTTCCCTTTTGAGATGCCTACTTTCTCTGGAGTACTGGTATGGTGCTATGGGTTAATGCACCAGACCGCAAAGCTGTTGGAACTGCAAGGCTGGCGATTCAAGCTCACAAGCTGCTCCTTGGAAACCCTATATAGGGTTGCTATGGGTCGGAACTGACTCGACAGCACTTAACAACAACACTTTCTCTATGGATCAAAAGACCCCCGCCTGTCTGAGGTAACGAAGGGAGTCAACCACATGGAGGTTTTGGAGTGCTTACCAACATCATAAAGGAGCCCTGGTTGCACTACAGGATAAACACTGGACTTCTACACACAAGGTTGTTGTTGTTGTTGTTGTGAAGTGCCTAGGTTCAGACCACCAGCTGCTCCACAGGAGAAAAACAAGAAGGCTTTCTGCTCCCATAAAGAATGATAACCTCAGAAACCCTATATAGTGTCACTATGAGTCAGGATGGACTTGATGAGTTTGGTTTATCGACATCACCATGGTGACCCTGGGCGAACATGCCCAATCCCAGCTTCCCATTTTAAAGACCCAGTGCTCACCCTGTGGAGAGGCGTCGGTAAAGACCAGGTCTTCCAGGCCCTGCTCGATGACTTTGATTATGAACTCTGGCCGTCCGTTGTTCTCGCTGATGGAGCAGCGGTAGCAACAGCGGCGGTTGTTGGTGCGGAGGCTCCAGTAGATGCGTGTGGCCTCGTAGCCCACAGGATAGAGGGCGGTGGCACTGTGAAAGTCAGCCATCTGGTGAGGGAGCAGCTGCCCGATGGCATGGAATACAAGGCCTCCCACACGGAACATGTGCAGTCGCTCTCCCCGCTGGATGATGCTGGCGATTTGCTTCACCTCATCCCGCTCGATGTAGACCCGCCGGAAGACTGCGAACGAGCTCAGCTCCTGCTCGCAAGGCCCCTTGATCTTATGCACTGGACAGAGCATGGTCTTGTCCTTGAAGAACATGCACTTGGCGCGGATTGCACAGGCAAAATGGTAGACATTGGGGCAACGCATGCGATTGCAGCTGCTGGTGGCACCAGTGCGCTGGCACAGGGAGCACTTGGTGAGCAGCCCCCGGTGCAGTGCAACCTCCACGTTCATCAGCGCCCCGCCCTGGGTCTCATACACCTCTGTGGACCAGAGGGCACAGTTGAGATGTACCCATAGGTCCAGGTCCAGGTTCAGCAGGCGGGCGGGCCCATCAGTGGCCCCGTCACCCTCCTCATGGCAGAAGCAGCAGCGCCGCATGTCTCGAGGCACCTTGTCAGGTCGTAGGGCAGTGCCAAGCTGCTCCATAAACTCTGCCACTTCCCGCTCATCCTCCTGCCGCCCACTGCCCTTATGGATGGTCAGGAGTAGCCGCAGCCGCTTCCAGCGCACCCCCTTCCACTTCTTCAGGCGAGGGGGGCGGGAATCCTCCCCTTCTTCTGGGGGCCGGGCTCGGGGCTTGGGCTTGGCTGATTCAGGGGACGAGGCCAGTGGCAGAGGGGAGGGGACTGGTGGCTCAGCCGAGGGCTCGGCCGGGAGTTCCACCATGGCTTCTGCCGGGGGGCTGGCAGGAGAGGGTGCCAAGGGTGAGGGGGGTGGGGAGGGTTCTTCAGGCGGTGGGGCTGAGAGTTGTCGCACATCCAGATTGGAGACATTGTAGGTGTAGCTGTGCTGGGTGGGTGGCTCTGGGGCAGGGCTCTCCTATGGGAGAGTGCCTGATATAGTTAGTGCTAATGCCTTACCTATGAGGACCTCCCCTCCTCCAAGCCCAGATTCGACTCTCCCTAAAGCCCCCTACCTTCTTTGCCTAAGCCAGCACCCTTTTCCCTACCATCCCTTGTCTGCCCCAGACCCACCTGTTTTAGGAGGCTCAAGATATCAAGCTGGCTCTTGAGGGTATAGCCAGGCAACACTGCATCAAACTGCTTTAGCCAATCAGGGCCAGCTTCTGGGCTCTTGACTCCCAGACCTTTTTCTTTCCCACCTGAAGGAAGGAAGGGATCAGAGCCTCCCACCACAACTATTCTCCCTCAAGTCCCAAGGGGCTTTGGTGCCATACTCACCAGGGCCCTCAGCTTCCCCCTTCTTAGGCTCAATGCCTGCCCGGGCGGGACTCTCTGGGAAGAGCACTTCATATGAGTTGGGAATCTTCATGCTTAGCAACTCTGCCACTGCCACCATTACACCATTTAGGTTCTACAAAGGCAGGGAACAGGGACGGAGGAATAGGTTAGCAGAGTGTCTGGCATTAGCTCAATTCACAGCTTGGTGGGAATAAGGACACAACTCCCTAAGCAATTGGTTGTCCTGCCCCTGTGCCACTCCCAGCCTGTCTCATGCACTCCGGTTACTGCAGCATTTTCCAAACTGCTATGGACACATCAACTAGCGCTCTGCAGAAAGGGATCTATGTGAAATCTGTTTAGAAAATGATGCTCACTGTAGGCAAAACCTGGAGATTCACAATGTTGTTGTTATACACACTAGCAAATTAAAGGACCTGAAAAGTACTGCAGGAAAAAACTGGTTTTGTTGTTTTTTTTTTAAACTGGCTTTCCCATTTTCTCCAACTGTTAACATTTTCAGAACCAGATAGTGCCGCCAAATGCCAAGGGAAAGTGCTGTCTTATAGCATCTATTGCACGACATACTCTACCCATCTGACTTGTCTGTAAGCTCCTTAAAGGCAGGGGTCAGGCTTCAAGTAGCCTCATTCCCACAGCCCCTAGCTCAGGTGCTCAGTATGAATTCTGGATGAGCAAATGTTACCTCTTATCTAGATAAACTCCAGGGACTGGCCTCTGCTTATGGTCCCCCTGGTCTCAGAGGAATTCCCAGAACACACCTTGGCTGCAGCAGCAGAGACTGTTAGCATGACTGACACCTCACTTCCTTTGCCCTTTTCCCAAGTTGTGACAGGCAACTTTCCAGGGACCTCCAGATCCAGCGTGCTGTAAGGTTTCGTATCTGGGAAGACTGAATTGAAAAAAGAGAGACCAGTGTGGGTAGGGCCCAGGCACCTGGCTCTCCCAGTCCTGCCAGCACTGCCCTACGCCCAAAGCAGACCGACCTGGGATGGTGGCCCGAGGAATGATGGGGATGACTGGGGACAGAGCCCGGTCATCCTGCTCCCACCGGCATGATCCTAGATGAGGGAAACGAGGTGCCTCCTCCCCTAGGATGCTCTCAGGGGATGAAGCTGGCACAATGCTGTCAGGAGAATCGCTGTCCTCATCACTCTCCATCCTGTGAGCCAAAAATTAGACACTTGTTTCTATACTCCCTCCAAATCTAAAGATTAGCACATGTCACAGCCTCACGTGAAATCTGTCATTAGTCAGAAGACCATAATGGAGGCAACCCACCCTCCCTTCATTTCCCATTCCCCTTTCCGGTCCCACTCCCACCTGACATCCTCAGTCTGATTGTGAGGGGGTGTAGGCAAGGCGGCCAGCAGGTCTAGACTCTTCACCTCTGAAGCATCTGGGATTGAGGGGGAGAGGAAAAGTCAGGGTGAGGGTGGCCAGGGCGGATGGTGCTTTCTCCCCCATATTTCAGGCCAATCTAGCATGATCCCTTAGCTGAAAGTTACCATGACTCTCTACCCACCCACCCCTCTCACAGTTTGAGTCACGTTACATGTATTGAGCTTTCTGTATGTGCCAGGCACTGGGTTTTAGATATCCCTTTGTACACTAATCTTCTATCAACTCCACTATGAATTATTATAGGAAAAAAAAAAAAGGTTCAGGTAAGTCAATCAAGTTGTTTGGCTATAGTAACACAGATGAATGAATGAAGGAGCCAGAATGCAAACCTAGATCTGACTCTAGTTCTATAGCCACTAAAGCTGGACTGTTCCTTAGGCACAAAGCTTCATTAATCCTTTCCCTGCCATCCCCACCCTCTATTCCCAATGCCTCAGCTCTAGACTCCATAGCCCATCCCTGTACATTACAGATCAGTCCTGAAGAGGCCCTTCCTATTGCAGGTAGCTTGCATCATCACGAAACAACTAATTTCTTCAACTGTCAAGCCAAATTAACTGGCTTAGACCTCAGCCACCAAATCCTGCTGGGGAAGGAGGGCGCCCTACTCTGCTCTTTACTCACCCCTCAGTGCCCCTTCAGTCTCTCGGGCAGAGGCGGCATCCTTGGGGTGCTCCCCCAGCTCTTCAGATGGGGTGACGCCATTCACCATCTTCTGCTGCACCGATGGGGGTGGGGTGGGGGGCAGCGACGAGGGTGGTGTCGGCGGGTTACTCAGGTTATTCTGGGGGTGGGGTGGGGTGTTGTGTGCAAGATGGCATAGGGAGATGGATGTAATCTCCTGACCCCACACTACATCAGCCACTTCCTCAAGTCTTCCACTCCCACCCCAGCTCCCCAAGAACCTCATTATCCCCAAAGGTACTGCCATTTTGCTGACCTTGGTAAGCAGCTGGGAATAGTAGTCAGGACCAGTGGGCAGTGTCCCACTTCCAAAGGTCCCCCTCAGCTGGCTCTGCCCACTGACTGAGCAGCCACTGCCAAAGGGGGCAAAGAGGCTAAAATTGGCGGTGATGGTAGGCTCCGTTAGAGGCAGCAGGGACAGCTCCTAGGAGGGGCAAAATGACAAGGTTGGAAACGTGCAGCCTTTGTATTTCTGCCACTGCACAGCTAGGGGCCAGGGTGCCCCCTATCCTGGGATGGGACCAGGGGACTGGCTCCTGGGGGTCACCTGTTTCAGCTGTTTCAGCAAGGCCTCGCTGGCCCTGACCCCGTCCTCCTTCCGCAGCTTCTTTCGGGAGCTCACCAACCTGTCGCTTGCCTTCTGTACCCGCTTGGGCTTCGGGGTCAATGGCTTCCTTGCTGCTGCATCCTAAGCCAGATAAGCCCATAGTGAATGGTGCTTGCGTCTTCAAAGTTACCTCATGGATTCGACCCAGACCTGCTCGCCTGCCCCCAGACACCAGATGCCACTCTATTGTTCCCCTCTGGCTAGAGCACTTACCTCCTTGTTGCCGGGGGTACCCTGTAGTTTCTGCTCCAGCCCAGCCAGCTTGCTGTCAATGTGCCCGTTGATCTCAGCTCGTAGCCCCTCAGGCCCCCGCCCAGTGCTGAGCTGCACATTCTTTGCCCGTAGAAGCTTCTGCAAGAGCAGATGTCCGGCCTCTGAGCGGGGGCCTGCCAGCAGGAGGTGGTTGCTGGTACCTGGTGTCCCTAGTGGCTCCCCATTGGCCTCCCTCTTCACTGCTTGGGCCCCCAGGGCGCATGATTCTTCCCGAGGCTCTTGCTTGATGCTGAGATTGGATGGCTCAGATACTGCCTGTCCATTCACCTGCTCCTGATGCCCAGGTACCAAGTTGCTCTGCTCTGGCTTCTGAGCTTCTGCTAGATGATCTGGGGGGTCCCAAGGTCCCAGCCCCTTGCCAAAGAAGGTGTCCGCAAGCTGGGCAGCAGCAGGTGAGACCCTACCAGAAGGTAGCTCCAAGGGTGGCCCCTGGGGCTTTGGGGTCTCTGGCTGGGTGGGGGTGAGCTGGACCTCAGAGGGAAGCTGGGAGCTGGGGGAAGGTAATTGTGGGGAAGGTCTCTTTGGCTCTTGGGGGCTGGATGGTAGAGGTGTGGGATGGCCAGGGCCAAGGACTGGTCCTGTTGATAAGGCTCCTTGTGGGGCAGGAAGCCGAGGTGGGCCCTGAGGTCGAGGCCCTGCCCCTATCTCCTGGAGGGGGCCTATCTGGGAGCCAGGGAAGCTTCCAAGTTGGGGCTGGCGGCCTAGGAGGCCCTGGAGGGGAGAGGGCTGGGTCCCAGGCTCCTGGAAGGGTGGGCTCTGGCGTACTGCCTGGCTCTGGCTCTGCTGCAGCTGCCGCTGCATGAGAAGCGCCTGAAGCTGCTGCTGCTGCTGAGGACTCAAGTGCCGCAGTTGGGGGTTTTTGGCCAGAACTCCTTGGAGCTGTGCTCGAAGCTGACCCATTGTAGGCATGCTTCCAGCCCCAGGTAGGCCCTGCCCAGATGGGGGGGCAGGTCCTGGTTTGGGAGGCTGTAGCCCTACATTACTTTGCATGGGTCGCTCTAGCCCAAGGGGATGCTGGGGACCCATAAGATTCTGGGTTATGGGTCCAGACTGCTCCCCTAAGGAAACAGAGGGTTGGGACAGTAGGTGGGGCATAGATGAGGCATCAGAAGATGATCCACTGCTTATCTGCCCATGGCTTCCCCCACCTGCAGTGTGGACTAAGTTAACTTGCTGCTGTTGTTGTCCTGGGAGCCTCAGAGGTGGCTGTAGCTGCAAGGAGTTGGGCTGAGGCTGGGCCTGGGGTTGAACTAGCAAGAGTTGTGAGTCCCCAGAGAGTGAGGGCTTTACCTCCCCTGGTTCAGTGGCCACTGATTCAGTTGTTGTCCCTATTGCTAATGGGCCTCCCTGATGTGTTGAGGGTCCCTCAGTGACCTCTGGAGGAAGAGCTGTCTCTGCAATGCCTTGTTCCTTGCCCGCCAGGAGGAGGGTTGGGCCCAGGGCTCCGGGGCTAGAATAGTGTTGAAGAGGCTTGGCTGGCATGCCAGGGCCTAGTGTCACCTGCTGCTGCTGCTGCTGCTGCTGAGGAGACAGTAAAGTTCGACTCTGGTTCAAGAGGCCCATTTGCTGCTGTTGCTGCTGTTGCTGTACCTGGTGCTGCTGCTGATGCAGCTGTTGGTGCTGCTGTTGATGCAGCTGCTGCTGCTGCTGTTGCAGTTGCTGCTGCTGTAATTGCTGCTGTTGTTGTTGCAGCTGCTGTTGTTGCAGCTGCTGCTGTTGTTGCTGCAGTTGTTGTTGCTGCAGTTGTTGTTGTTGTTGTTGCAGTTGCTGCTGCTGTTGAAGTTGTTGCTGTTGAAACTGGTGTTGCTGAAGCTGCTGCGGTTGTAAGGAGCCCATGGGCTGTGTGCTAAGTTTATGCTGCCCACTGTGTGGTATCAGACCCTGCTGGAGATGGGAGAGCCCTGCCATGGATCCCTGCTGTTGTTGCTGCTGCTGCTGGGATGTGACCAACCGATGTCCCATAAGGCCTTGACCCTGCTGTGCCAGCTGGGGGGAACTCAGCACCCGAGGCTGGCTCAGAAGTACCTGTCTATGAGGGCCCTGGGGTCCCAAAGCTCCAGGATGCTGCTGTTGCTGGTGCTGCTGCTGCAACACTGCCACCTGGGCAGGGCCCAGCATGCCTTGGGGCCCCTGAGGTGGCTGCGGGGACAGCTGTTGGACCAGGAGACCTTGATGGCTGTTGGGAGGCAGAAGTCCCTGGGGCTTAGGACCCAGGGCCTGGTTCACCTGCACCCCTGGGCCCTGCTGCTGCTGTTGCGGGACCTGTCCTAGAAGGTGCTGGTGCTGCTGCTGCTGCTGGTGCTGCTGCTGCAGTTTCTGAGCCAGCTGCATGCGTTGCTGCTGTAGTTGCAGCTGCCTTTCCTGTAAGATCCTTGAATCTGGTCCCAGGCCCCGAAGAGCAAGGTTTCCAGGGAAGAAACCACCAGATGGTGCAGCCAGGGCCCCAGCCCCACCAGAATGTTGCTGTTGCTGCTGTTGGGTCATGGCCGTATTGAGGAAGGGGCCGCCTGGTTGTCCAGATAATGCCATGCCCCCAGGGGGTAGGCGAAGACCTCCAGCTTGCCCACCCAGGGGTCCCTGAGGTGGCTGCAGCCCATGGCCTGGGAGCAGCTGACCAGGGAGCTTGGTGAGTAGTCGGGGACTCTGGGAAGGGCTCAGGGCCAGCACAGCTGAGTGCTGCTGCTGCTGCTGCTGCTGCTGCTGCTGCTGCTGCTGCTGCTGCTGCTTATTCCGATATTCTGCCATGAGATTTGTGTGCTCCTTCTGTTGTTTTCGGACCTGGCAGGGAGAGTCAGAGAGGTCAGCCTGGAGCCTGTTTACCCATGTCATCCCTCTTCCCTTTGCTTCTAGGTGCTTTCCTCACCTGATCCAGCTGTTTCTGGATCTTGCTCTGTTGTTCTGTGACTAGCTTGAGCTTCTCAGCGTCAGCCTCTGGAAACTCACGGCCAGCCTTTTTGGCGGTGCGCTGCTTGGCACACAGAGCCTTCCGTGACTTTCGGTGCACACCAATCTGCTCCTCTAGCACCTTCAGCTGCATCTGTAGGAGCTGCTGGGTGTGGAATAGCCACTCCTCGTACTGCCGCTGGTCAGCTTCATCTGGGAGAGGGAGTGAGTATCAGCTAATGCCAGTCCCTCTTCTTCTATGGATCCCATTGCACTTCCTTGAACCCTTCTCCCAAGTCCCATACTCACTGATCACCCCCTGAGCAAAAGTGGGCGGGTTAGGCCGAGGCTGGGAGGGGTCACTGGTACTCCGCTCCTGCAATGAGAGAGACTGCTAAAGGGTTATTGTTCTGTGTCAGACCCTGAAAATGGTGGCCTGATGACACGGGATATAGGTTTCTACTCCTACCTTGCTACTTACCTGGCTACTCCCAGCTGCTACATGGTTCTGCAGGTCATTGCTAGGCCCCCCTGAGAGCCGCTGAGCTAGCAGTGACACTTGCTGCCTGGAGGTCACCAAAACAAAGAGGGGTGGTTAAGTGTTGACAGATGGGGAAAGTAGAAAGGTGGAGAAGGGGTAGAACTAGTAGGGTCAGGAACGGTGGGCCAGGCAGGGAAGGGGTGTTAGCTGGAAAAAAAGCCAAGCTGCTTTGCCCCGAGTCATACCTATTCATACCAGGTGCCACCCCAATGCTGCCCTGAGCCATCACTTTCTTGATGCCTTTCAAAGCCACCATCTTGGCCTTTGCAATGGGATCAATAATATCTTCTGCAGCAAACTTGTCCAGGTCTGGAGAGAAAAGAGTCAGGTAAGCTGGGTTTGGGGATCTGTGTTTCACTTCATGTCTGTTGTTCCTTCCAAGAATAATGGCATGGCACAGTGCAAAGACCACTGGGCTGGAGCCAGGCCACCTGGGTGACTCAGTTGCTATTCACACATCAGCCCTAGTTTTACTTAAACAGTGCTAGGAAAAGGTATTTAATAAATGTTTGTTGACGCAATATAAGTGAGCTTCAAAAAATTCATGGGAAAATAGAATTGAAAAATAATGAGGGGGAAAAGAAAGATGGATACGTAATAGAATTTTTCCTCGAACTTTTTGAAGCCACCTTTTATATACACATATCATTTCACCAATGAACTTCAGTTTACTCCTCTTTGTGAGTGAGATCCTGAGCTCTGTAGAGATCCATGTGACAAGAATCTAGTATCCTGTATGATGGGCAAAGCACTCAGCCAAAGGAGTGTTCTTGGAGGTATTAGTGCAACCCAAGAATCCAAGTCACGGCCTTGTGCCAAAGCCCTAAATCTCAAAGAGTTGTTTTGGGCATGACATGCGTCACCTGTAGCTGCTCTCCTGACTGCCTAGTATACAGGGTAGAAAGATAGAAATAAGGAACTGGTATCTTCCTACAATCCTGCACTTGGTAATTCCTCACTACTCAGAAAACTCAGCTGATTGCTTACGTTCTACAAGACCAATCAGACTCCCTCTCCTGGCATTTCAGGCAAAAAACAGCTAAGAGTATCAAAGTGCTAGGGTTCAAACTCTAACTATGCTGTTGTTTCTGAGGAACAGCTGGTGAGTTTGAACCTCCAACCTTGTGGTTAGCAGTCTATGATTTTTCCTACAGTGTTACACCAGGACTTTCAAACTTTGCTAGTTACTAGCTATGTGACCCAAGGTAAGTTACTTAACTACCATGCCTCAGTTTTCTCTTCTGGAAAATGCTACTTACTAAGTTTCTATGAATTAGAATCAACTTGATGGTGGTTAAGTCGGGTTTTTTGGTTTTAAAGAGTCTCTGAGTAGTAGAGGTGGCTATCATGCTATGCTTAGCTGCTAACTGAAAAGTAGGCAATTCGAGTCTACCCAGAGGTACCCTGGAAGAAAGGCTTGGTGATCTACTTCCAAAAAATCAGCCACTGAAACCCTATGGAGCACACACTTACTCTGACACGCATGGGGTCACCATGAGTCAAGATCAACATGACAGAAAATGGTAGGAAATGAGTCTACTGTGATGTTTAAATTAGACAATGAAGTTAAAACACTTAGTACACTACTTGACAAATAATAATTACTAAATAAATGTTATTATAATTTGAGGTCTTCTTCCATCTGACCCCTTCTTACCTCTCCAAAATCAGTGTCTAGTCATGTCCTGCTACATAGACCACTCCAGGATAATCACTTGTCTCATTTTTCTCCAAACACTCCATAGGTTTTCCTGCCATTATAGCCTCACTCAAGTCTTGTCACCTATCTGGGAGGGTATTTTTTTAATACCCCTTTCTATAAGTTCTAACTTTGCAGCTTCATCACAACTACAAAGCCTTTGCTAATCAAGGTTTAATTCAGACATTCATTCGACCATCTTCTGTTGTTGTTGTTGTTAAGTGCCGTCAAGTTGGTTCCGATCCATAGCCACCCTGAACAGTTTCTGAGGCTGTAAATCTTTATGGGAGCAGAAAGCCTCATCTTTCTCCCATGGAACAGCTGGCAGTTTCGAACTGTTGACCTTGCAGTTCACAGCCCGATTCGTAACCACTATGCTACCAGAGCTCCTTAAGCATCTTCTGAGTGCCTATTAATATGAGGATGCTTCAAAAAATTCATGGAAAAATAAAATTTAAAAGATAATGGAACTTTCCCACAAACTTTTTAAAGCCCCCCTGCATGTCAGGAATCATTCCCTCCCTTCTATGAAGCTTCCATGCTTCTGCCCTGCTACCATATGGTGTTTAGTCAGTTTCAAACATCCCATTTCCCTTAATTAGACTCTGTTTCAGATCTCTAGTCCCAGTGCCCATTTGGTGGTAATGACAATCAGCCCTGAGTAACTCAGCCATTCCCCCAACTGAAGATACCTGTATCTGGGAAGAAGCTGTTAGCCAGCTGCTGTTGCATCGCCAGTTGCTGGGGCTTCATGCACATGGAAGGTGGCATAGTGCCCATAGGCTTCTGGGTCAGCACTGACTGTGGGTTCTGCTGGGGTACCAATCCCGCTTGCCCTCCATGCTGTCCACTTAGCATATGTCCTTGGTTAGGTGCCATGGTCATCGATGGGGCCAGGCGCTGTTGGAGAGAATGAGCTGGTGGCTGGGTGGGCATCAGTGGTTGGGCCAAGGCTGGCTGTCGGGCACCTCCAAGACCCAGGGCAAGCTGCTGTTGAGGTCCAGCCAAACTGGGAGAAGAGCCCTCATGTGGCAAAGGCCTGGCCTGGGCAGAGCCTGATGTGGACAGTAGGGAATGCTGCTGCTGTTGCTGTGGGCCAGGCTGCAGCTGGGCTGAAAGCTGCTGCTTCTTCTGCAGTTCCTTCTTCTCATGCTCCAAAAGATCCTCAATGAGCAGGGGCAGCTCACTGGCCACCAGTGAGCTCTCCATCTTGTCCAGCTCATCCCCAGGTGCTGTGTGTCCACTGGGCAAGGCAAGGGCTCCACTCTCCAGCTCAAACTTTTCTAGCAGAGAAGACCCTCCTGAAGCACTCAATGGACTGGGGGTCAGCAGGTGAGCTGGTGGTCCTCCTGTAGCCCCAAAGGGACCCTTTTCACCTGTGTGCCCACTGCTGGAAAATGGCCCTGAACCCATCCGTGTGTCCCGGCTGCCCATCACACTCTGTCCTGGCTTCAGCCCTAGACACAGAGGAGTGGTGGATGGTGCTGGCTCTACCTTGGGGGTGGTAATGGTGAACTGGCAAGGGGAAGGGTGGCGCCCACCCTCCTCCACCTTGGTTTTCACTTCAGGGAGTACCGGTGCCATACGGGACTCAGAGGCATCAGGAGCAGGAGCAGGGGTAGGGGCAGGACGTTCCTCAGGGCCCATGGGTCCTGGCTCCACCACCCGTAGCAGGGCCTCTCGCTCAGCCTTCTCGTTGGCTGACTCTACCAGCCTCAGATGCTCATTGAAAATGTCCTTCTTGTCCCCAGTGTCCAGCTCAGGGTCCGTATAGGCTAGTAGGTCAAACTCATCTCCATTGAGCAGGTCATCTAGATGGGGGTCATTAGTCTCCAGGTTTTCCAGGGTGCCGAGTTCATCATCACCCTTGGCCACATCCACTCCCAAGCCCAGGTGAGCAAGCTCCTCATCATCCTCTAGGGCCTTGTGGGCATCAAAGTCATCGTCCAGCTCAGAATCCTCACAAGGTAGCTTTCCAGCTTCCAGGGCCAGAGGAGGGGGACGGCTCAGTTCAGTGTTCGAAGGGGGCCGGTTAACCAGCTCCAAGCCAGAGGACAGGGTGGGGCCCTTGGTGTGGGGCGTGGGATGGAGGCTATTGTTCAATTCAGTGACTGATGGGGCTGAGGGTTTCTGTGGAGGAAGCCCGGATACTGCCAGGCCACGAAGTCCTTCAGGAGCCAGGCGGTGAGGGTCTTCATTTACAGCATAAAAACGGGGCCTCTGAGGGGGCCCCTGGCCAGGGAATGGAGGCCCCCCAGGTCCTAGTCCTTTCTGCACATTGTGCCGCAACTCAATAAACTGGGCCGGACCAGATGGACCAGGCACTGGCTCACCGGGTCCAGGCAAGCGGGTGGGAACTCCTGTCAAGGGAGAACCTAGGGTTTGGCGGCCAAGTTCAGGCCCAGGAGTTGACGGGAAGCGAGTGGACATTGCAAGTCTCATGGAGGTTGTTGCTGTGACCTGCTGCTGCTGCTGCTGCTGCTGCTGTTGCTGCCACAGTTGCTGCTGCTGCTGTTGTTGTAAGGGCAGGGGCCCAGGGTAGGGAGCTCGCTGATAGAAGGCTTGGGAGCCTCCTACCAGTTGCCTGGAAGAATACACAACAGTAAGTAAAATGAAATCTGGATGAAAGTGAACTAGAACCTAGGTTTGGGGCAGTGAGGGAGATTGACATTAATGCACTGAAGAAGGAATGGGAAGAACAGTAAATGATACATGGGAAGGTTAAAAAAACGGGAAAAGTTAGAGGAAGCATTAAACATGGTAAAATTCGCCCCCTTGATTTAATCCCAAGGAGGCCTCTGGAGCCTTACCGGCTGTTCACATCCATAGAGGAAGGGGTGGCTGGTGGAGGTGGCCGGGAAAGTCGGTCATCACTGGGGAAGGCCCCTGGCCCCAAGACAGGGCCACCTAGCTTGCTCTGGGGCAGTCCCACAAGGCTGCTCTTGTCCTAGGAAAAATGGAGGTAAGGCTTTAGTAGCCTGGCTCTACCACTTGGCTGGGCCCTGCTACCCTTACCCCTCTACCTACCTGGGTCCCAGCGAAGGGAGTTTGGCTTCGACTCAGCTGCTCAAAGGCAGGACTGCTGGGATCTGCACCCCAGCTGCCTGGGGGCCCCACTGCTCCTGCAGCGGCTGCAGCTGTTTCCTTCTCCTGCCGCAGGGTGTTGCGCTGGATCTGCTGCCGAATCAGCAGCTCCCGCAGTCGCTGGCGCTGTGGAAGAATGGAGAAGAGGAATTAGTCAGTTCTACTCCAACCATGGGGCTGGCCAGAGAGACAGTGGAGCTACAGGGACTCAGTTCCAGGGTGTTCACTCACCTGCCGTTGCTTCTCCAGTTCTGTCTGGCTGAGACTGGGCACGCTGGGATCCTGACTACCTGGGAGTTCAGGTGCTGCTAGGGAGCTGCCCATTCCAGCCCCTGGGTCTTCTCGTTTCTCAGCTGGAGAGGTGATCCCTGCCCGCTGTGAGACTCCATGGGACAGGTAGGGAAGGGATCCATCGGGTGTAGGTGGTGGCAGGACTGACGGGGGGCGTAGTGGGGACAGCCCATAGCCCTCTCCTGTGGACCCACTGCTGGGCCCTAAGGGGCTGCCTGATGTGTGGAAGTTCCCCGTGGCTACTGCGTAGCTTGTGCTTTGGGGCTTGCCCAAGGTGGTTCCAGGTCCCAAATGGCTATTGATCCCATGGGGTGGGGGGAGGCCAGGCTGAGGGACAGGGGGCTTTAGGGAAGGCTCCCCTACTGCCTGAGGGAAAGTGAAACGCATCGGAGAGGGGGTGCCCACAAATGCACCTGTCCCAGGAGACCGGGCAAAATTAGGGGGCTGCCCACTTGGGACCTTGGCATGGAGCTCACCTGCTGGCCCTGAAGGCAGGGCTGCTGGGAAGCCCCCAGCCCCCAGCGGAGTGTGGGCTAGAGGTCCAGCCTTGAAGGCAACTTCAGGGGGTTGGGGTCGGGGTGGCTTATGCAATGGAGCAAATGGGTCACGGGACTGAGGGCGTGAGGGTGGGCGAGAATAAGGGTCAGGGGACTGGAAGCGAGGGGTAACAGGGGAAGGACAGAAAGCCTCAGCAGACAGAGGACGGGGTGTCAATGGAGACTGGGAACTGGACTGGGACTGAGGACTCGCAGGAACTCGGGAGAAAGGGTCAGAGGGCAGGGAGCGAGGGGGCAGGGCACAACAGCTCTCAGGAGGTGGTGGCTGGGGCCGAGGAGTCAGTGGGGGCTGGGCATAGGGGTCAGGGTAAGAGCCAGGGCGAAAGACGTCCGGGTGGCTTGGGGGAGAAGGGGCCAAAGTCTGGGCAGGGGGCGGCTCCTGGGGTCGTAGGCCTAAGCCCGGGCTCTGGGGCTCTACCTGAGATGCCCGAGGGGTAAGAGGGGCTTTGAAGACATCAGGTGCCTTTAATTCCAGGCCACCTAGGTGGGGGCCTGAGGAGGGTGAGTCAACAAAACCCAGGTTTGGGGGCCCATAGCTAGGAGAGGCTGCCCCAAGCTCTTCCTTCTTCACCTCTAGTGCCTTCCGGGACTCCCCAAAAGACGGGGGTGAGAGCAGGGGCTCAGAAGCCTTGCCTACCCCTACCCCTGGGCTCTCAGGCACAGCCAGGTTGTCCATTGAGGGGCAGCGGGGTTTGAGGAAGGGATCAGGTGTGGAAGGCTGGTGTCGGGGAGTGCCGGGTGGAGTCGTGTGGAATTCCCCTGGCTGACCAGTCCCAGGACGAGATGAGGTGCCCATCGTCGGGGGCTGTGCAGGGGCCCCAGTCGGGCTAGGATAGGGGGCATAGGCAGGTGGTGCTGTGGGGAAGCGGGGTTCCAGGGCGTAGGTGGGGGCCAGTCCAAAGGGGTCCTGCGAAGGCACTTGGGCGGGCACCTGGGGCGGGAGCTTGAGGAAGAGCTCACCGGGCGAGTCGGGGCCGGGCACTGTGCCTGCCGGTGGCTTCAGGAACCCGTCCGCAGAGGTAGACAAGCCAGCGGGGGTAGTGGGACTGCCAATGAAAATGGTGGGGGCAGCAGCAGGGGGCGGACTGCCCAGTGCCCCTGGCTGGGGGGGAATGCGGAGATGTAGGGCCGGTCGGTCAGTCTTACGGGCTGTGTCGCCCACCTTGGTCTGCTTGTTGATCTGGCTCTCAGCCTGCTATGGGGGAGACCAGGCACAGAGCAGTCAGGCTGCTGTGGACAAGGCCCAAGTCCCCCATACCCTCAGAGAAGCCACTCACTACAGGACATAAGATACTTAGATGGCTCAAACCAGCCCAGTCCAGCTCAGCTGTGACTCACCTTCTGCACCTTGTTAATGCGGTGAGCCGCCCGGTTATCTTTGGCCTTTTGCTGAAAGATGTAAAACATAGCTTTAGACATAGAGCTCAGCCTCACAATGTCACTCACTCCCCAGCCAGAAGCTGATCCCTCTGGCCCAGCTGCTTCAGGGGTAGGGAGCAGAAAGAATGGAGGTGAATTTCCCAAGACACCTCCCTCCAATCTCAAGTTTTTTATGATCAACCATGCTCCTTTCTGTCTCACCAGGTAGGGGGCTTTGTCAGCAGCTGGAACCTTTCTCCAAAGCTTCATGATTTGTTTGCATCGACTAGACCAGTCTGGAGGGCAGAAGAAACGTGTTACAGGAAACGAGGCACCTCACCACCCACCACGTTGCCAGGACCCTTGACTTCATCCCATAGGAACCTACCTGGGTAATCTTGCTTGAGATTGGGAAAGTTAATGTTGGCATAGAGCACAGGCGAGATGGTGGAGAGCTGGCCCAATTCCTCGTCTTTCTCCCATCGCTGAAGACTCCGCTGGTTATAGGAGAGCCCATCGCCCTCACCCTCTGTGGTGGGGGTGGTAGGAGTGGAGGGTGTGGTGCCCCCTGAACCCGTCCACGGGCTGTCTGGCTCACCGGGTTCCGGGCTAAAGAAGCCCCCGCGCTCCCTGGGGCGCAGGGGCAGAGAGTCACAGGGGGGCAGGGATATCAGGCTCCACCCAAGCACATTGCCAAGAGCCCCAGGCCAGGAAAGGGCCCCTTTCAAGAGAGTGTGGAGGAGCAGGGCACCCAGGAGTCCACAGGAGGGAAGGCATGGGCACTCAGTCAAGGAAAGAGACAATAGGGGCTGCCCACAAAGGTTAAGCATAGATACCAACCTACTATCCAGGAATGGAGACTGGCAGAGGCCAGGGTAGGAGTCCATCGGGCTGTTGGAAGGGATATTACCCAAAGGAAGTCCACCTATAAGAGGCATTGGATCAGAGGGAATAGAGAAAACAGGTCTATCCCAGGGACAGCTTGACTACACCTCACAGCCACTCATCAAACCACTCCCACCTGTACCACTTTGGACAAAGGGCCTCTGCAGGGGTGTGCGGCTGCCATCCAGGCCAGGGGTTCCACAACCTAGATGCTGCTCTCGTTCGGAACCCAGAACATCCTTGAAGAGCTGCTGCAGGTCTTTGGATTCCATCTTGGGCAATTCTGTGGAAAAAGATGGGAGACGGTGCTGAGGAAGACTAGGGAGCTGAGGGTACACCACAGGTCTACAAATGGTCATGATCAGGGAAGGTGCCCAGCGCTCCCCACCAGAAATGCTGTACAGATGACAGTCCCAGTCCCAAGGTAGGACCTACTTCTTTGCCCATACAGGACCCTTACACACAATGAGGTGCAAGTCACAGCCTCACCTTCTGTGGGGATCCTGTCTAAATCAGAGCTAAGCATCCCTTCACCAGGGGTGCCTGGCTTCTCGGGATCACTGGGCACTGGGGATGCCTTTACGCCCCCATCCTCAGGTCCTGTAATTGCCAGGAGAAACCCATCAGCCAAGGCCAGTATGGAGGTACATCAGCCACCCTGAACCATACAGGGACATGAAACAATTTCCAGTCTCCAACCCTGCTGGTGCCCAGTGGCAGAGAAGATTGATAGGAGCAAAGCTAAGACAGGACAGTCCCCCAGCAGTTCTCACCTGGTGTATCAGCTTTGCCCTCGAGGCCACGTGATTCTTCATCTGCAACATCTGGACCATCATCTCCTACAAGCAATAGTCCCCACTTTAATCAGTGATTCCTTACAAGTGATGCTCAGTGGGGTCCCCACCTCTCCAGGCCAGGGCCGTTGGCCCACCTTCAACTGCAAGAGACCAGCCCATTCCCCACCAAATACCCTAAGCAACTGCTAAGCACAGAGGGAAGATAGATCCTCTCATACTCCCTCACTCCATGCCTGACCTTTCTGCAAGGTGGGGGGCTCCTTCCTTTCTGGGCATCCATCTCCCTTGGTTTTTGGAATTCCTAGTCCAAAGGTTGACCGGCCCACCCCAACAGCAAAAAGGGCCTTACGGCTCAGGTCCAGCAGCTCCTTCCCAAAGAAGGCTTCCTGTGAGAGGAGTAAGAAAGGACGAAAACCAGTTTCTTCATGCTTTGCAGGACCCGGACATCCCTACTCCCCACTCAGACCCTAAGCCCCACCTGCAGGTAAGCAGGGAACATGTCCTCTAATTTGCTCTTCTTGCGCCCTCGTCGCTGCTGCTTTTTCTTCTCATCCCCATCAGCTAAGCTCTGCTCCACGGAGCCCTCTGCAGGCAGGTCAACAGGCATCACTGAGGGACAGGATGGGAGGGATCAGCCAGCCTCTCAAGAAACCCTGGCCATGATGCTCCCCACTTGAACTGGTGACATTTTTTGCCTACTCTCTCCCCTGACACTGGGTGGGCCCACCATCCTCTTGGTCCTTTCAGTGGTCCAATCCCTAGTGGTCCCATCACTATAAATGTTCTGAGTCCTGTGATCCCCACCTTCTCCCACACCCCACTGGTGCCCTCAACCCGTCTCACCCTCATCAGGCTGCCCATCACCACTCAACACTTCCGCCTGGGCCGCAGGGCCCTTTTTCACACGTGTGTGGGACTTTCGCTGTCGCACCATAAAGCCACCAATGCCTAGGAGGCAGAGCTGAAGATGAGGAGCTGCTGAGAGAACTGCTCCTCACCAACCCCCAGCCCCATCCCAGGACCTCACCAGGCCGATATGGTTTGCGCTTGCGTTTTTTGCTTTCCTCAGTCTCCTCCTTGCCAGGCTCCGCCTCAGGGCTTCCGGGACCCTCCAATTTAATTTCGCACTCCATGTGTTCCACACCACCTGCATATGGGGACAGAGGAGATGCAGGCAGATCAGAGGCAAGAGTCCTTTTAATCTTGTCCCAGAAGCAGACAGAGCTGAGTGCCCTGCCACAACCATTTGGACATGACTGATAGATCAAGAGTGACTGAGAGTTACCATGCTGCCCCCATCCAGATCCCAACTTTTAGGACATGCCCCCAACTTTGCCACTCCCTGATTCCCCAGCCCAACCTTCACCCTTGATAAGCTCATCAGCGTCCAGGTCCCCATCCTTCTTGTCATCAGGGCCAGTGGCATCTGAGGGCTCAGAACCTTCCAGCCCACCCTCGCCTGGAAGGCCTAGCCGTCCCTTCCGCTGGCGCCTCTTGTGTAGAGGTGACATGGTCAGGTTACGCAGCACAGCCATGCCAGTTTCTGTCAGCCATACACCCTCAAAACGAAAGTACTGAGGCTCTGCGCAAGGGGAAAAGCACATAAACCCTGGGTGAGGATCGCAGGGAAGCCAGGACTCTGTGTCCCCAGCTGGGACAAAAGCAGTGACAGAGACAGGCCAGATCAAGTCCAATTTGGTCCAATCTCAGATACCAGAGGCAGTGTCCACATCATGATGGAGAAGGAAATGCCCCTAGCCCCTTCGCTGCAGAAAAAGGGCTCTGCACTCTCTGTTCTCTGGAGATGAGACTGGCAGGAAGGAAAGAGGCCATAGAGCCTTAAGAGTACTGGGAAACTGGAGATCTTTGTTCTAGTCATAACTTTCCCACTAACTTCCTGAGTGACCTTGGGCAAGCCTCAACCTCTCTGGGTCTTCATTTACTCCTCTTCAAACGAAGAGATACTGTGCGGGGGTTGGAGCTTGAATAGATAGATGCTGTCTATAGTCTCCTCTGGCTTAGGCATTCAAAGTTTTGTGACTCACCTGGCTCTTTCACCTTCATAGGTACCAACTCTGGAGGTGCAACAGGTGCTGCAGAGAGAAGGCCAAAACCAAGGCAGCTTGAGACCCTATCCCAAAGCAAAGCAAACTTGCCCTGACTCCCCTTCCACCCTGTCCCCAGCACCTCGCCCTCACCTGCAGGCTTTATCACATAGGGCTGGCAGGAGACACAGTCAAAACCGTCATCTGCAGCCTGCTCCACCTCTTCCTCTGTGAAGAGACTCTCACAGCCAGCATGCATCCACCTGGACAAGGGAGACAGGAGGTAAGTCCAGGCACTAGCAAGACGGAGAACAAGGGAGCCTGAGGGGGGCTCATGGAAGGGCTAAAGGATGCCCTCACCGTTCACAGTGGCGACACTGGATTAGCAGGTCCTCTTCCACGTATGGGGCATGACAGACAGGACAAGTCACCAGGCTAGCACAGGGTCCACAGTGTGTGTAACTATTCTGCCACTCGCAGTGGAAGCCAGGGGAAGCAGCCCCACACTGCATACAGGAGACACACCTGTAGAGGCAGAAAGACAGATCCTCAACACTAAACCTACCCAAGGCCTCAAAGTCATCCTCAATGTCAACAAGAAGACCAGCCTGGACTCCTAAACCCAGCTTCTGTCATTACTCAACATATCAACTCTATCTAATCTCCCAGGCCTCTGAAGGTCCCAAGTCTCCTTACCACTTGCACTTCCAGCCACCTTTGGGCACGGTGAGCAGTGGGGGGTCCAGGCAGTATGTGTGGTAGCTAATGTCACAGTCATCACAGAGCAGCAAGCGTGAGGGGTCAGAGGCCTGGCCGCACACCTCACACACAATACACTCCACGCACCTCCAGCCCTTCAGCAGCATCACTTTGGTGATCTGGTATAGAAGATGGGAATTGCTCAGGGTACTACAGAAGGAAGGATGCGACTGAAAGGAATGGGGCTGGAGGAAACCCAGCGCACAGGTTAGACCTCTATTTTAAACACATAGAGGCTTATGCAGAGCACCCTCACCCAAGCCAGTGGCTCTAAACTTAAGCTCCCAAGGGTCTGATCAGAGAACAGCCTCACCGAGACAGTGCTCATTACCAGAGTGGAATGGCAATCTTTCACTAGCCAACCCCACAAAAAATTTTAGATCATGGATAGAATTAGGTATCCTTCTACGCAACTGTTCTTGAATATTTAAAACTTGCAATTGCTTCAAGTTAATGAATATTAGCAGCTGACAAGTTATGAATTAATATTAACAAAACCCCCCAAACAGTCATTTGCTATATTCTCTTTGTGGACATATGCTTATGATATCACACTTACCTAGAGAACATCATGTTTTCTCCTAGCAAAATAAGTTACTGTCTATATGAATACTTGAATTATGGGTGAATCATGGTCCACCACAAACTATGAAGACATCCATCATTTCCAAAGTATTTTTTCGTAAGACGACTTTGAGAATCACAGGTGACTCAAGAACGACTTCTGTGTCCTGTCCTGTTACTCCTTCAGAAGTAGTATGGCCAACACAGTGGCCGGAGACTAAGACACCACCGAGCCTGTGCCCCAGCCCATACCTCGCAGGCCCTGAACTCACCTTGCTGTTAACACAGTAAGGATGATAGCACTGGGAACACTGGGAACAGGCAAGGAGGTGGCCCTCTGCACCCCGGCCAAAGCTGCCACATACCACACACATATCCTGGGGAAACACGCAGAAATCTGAAGTCTGACTAGGTCACTTCATTCCACTTAGTCCCACCTAATGACTGCTACACTATGTGAGCCCAGCAAAGGCAGGGTATCAAAACCCCACCCCACAGCACAAGGACATCATAAACTACCCCAAGTCTCTGTTTCTCCTCCTATTGACCCCTGAGGAACTGCTCCTTCCTAAAATGCCTTGCTCATCTGACCAGGTACTTGAATTCAGATAGCATAATATAAGTACAAGTAAGGAGGAATGAAAGGACGGTAAGATTGTGGGAGATGGGGAAAAGACTGGTCAGGATGAAGGAGTAACTCATGTCACAAAATTTTATCAGCTTCAAGATTATTCAGGGGAAAATATGTAAGTTTCAATCATGCTGAGACCATTTCTGCCTTTTTCACTAGTCTGTCACCAATTCTTAGTTCAGAAGCAAAACTCAAGAGAAATATTAGATGGATGAACAAATGAGCAATGTAGCTGATTTTTTGCCAATTTTCTCATTCAGTAGGCATCCCCAGAAGTTAGTCCTTGGTTTTCCATGCTGTCCCTCCCACCCAAACACAGACCCCTCCCCCAAAGTTCAGTGTGCCCAGGCTCAATGCAGAGGATGGGACAACACTAGTCAAGAACGGTACCTGCATTAGGACAAATTTGTCCGTGTTGGAGAAGAGAACCACGGTATTTTGCATGGTGTCATCATCTTCTTCTTCTTCCTCCTTGCTGGGAGAGCTATCGATATCAGCAACCTTGTAAGCAAAGAGTTGTAGAAAGTAAGCCAGATAAATTTGCCACAACCAAGCTGTTTTCCTCTTTGGTGTTGGGTAACTGAGGTGTGAAACCCTGGCTGAGATGATGACCCAGAAACAGGGCTAAGAGGTGGAAGAACATCCTAGCTCCTACACTGGCAGAGATTTCAGAGAAGGCTGGGGCCAGTTGGGTAAAGAACGACAGGCAGCTGGACAGGCCCTAAGCTAGCATGCAGCTAGACAAGAGTGTAGGGCTGGCAGGATTTACAGGGTGTTTAATTTCAAAGGGACCATCTGAAGCATATTTTGGGTGATGGTAGGCTTCTCCTTACTACCAGAGTCTCAATGGAAGAAGTAGTTGATTTTAGCCGGGCCCGTCCTCTCCCACGTCCTCCATGTGCTCCTCCACGCGGCCGGCGTCTTCCTGGGAAACTACTGCTTCGCCCCTGAGTGAGGGGAGATTATTACATGAGCAAGTCTAGGACTACAGTGTTGGGCCCACAAGCTAAGAAGGAAGAATAGCGATAAATGGACAAAGAATGATGGTTAATAAAGCCCAGAACAATCAGTCAGTTTAGGGGGAAAAGTCAAGCTCTATCTAGGTACCAGGGAGCTCTGGCTCAAATGAATTCCCCACTCCCCAGAATAAAGAGTGACCTGGAGTCCTGGTGTGGTGCTGTAGGATAAGCACTGGACTAACTACAAGATCAGGAGTTCAAACCCATCAGCCTCTCCTTGGAAACCCTATACAGGGCAGCTATGAGTCAGAACTGACTCAACAGCAATTAACAACAATAACAATGGGGTAAAAAGAAAAAGAAATAGTAATACTAATTTAACTAAGGCTGAGCATTTCAGTTCAGATTCTATTCTAGAGTAATTGCAAACCTGAGCACATTACTCTACCCAATCCCCAGTATCAGTATTCTCCTTCATAAACAGGATGTACTAAAAGATCTAGTCTAGGATCCAAGAAGCCAGGTGGAAAGGGATCATGACCTAGAGCTTTACCTCTGGGTGATGGTATGGAGAACCCCTCACCTGCTTGATGCGGGAACGGGCAGGGGAACTGCGCCGCCTCCCCTTGTCCCCCTCAGCTTTGCCTCCGCTGACAGTTGTCCCAGCTTCACACAATAGCGAGTCATCAGTCTCTGGCAGCGAGTCAGTACAGAGCCGCAAAGAGCCCTCATCTCGGGCTGGGCTAACATCTGTAGATACTCCCAGCTCCATGGACAGGGAGCCACCCCCCTCGGGGTCAGGAGATCCCAGCAAGGGCTCTGAGCCAGGAAAACTAGCACTGGCATCACCCTGACTCAGATTGGAGATCTCATTAACGATGTCGGATTTGATGAGAGCTGGAGGGGTGGGGGCCACGGGTGCACGTGGCTCCTCCTGCATCTCACAGGGGGAGCTCTGCCCTGCCTGCTTGCATTCTGGGCCATAGACCTCCATAGGGGTCACAGGGGCCAGCTCCTCGGTGTCCAGGAGCACGGGGGAACCCTTAAGTTCACAAGCCATTGAACTACCAGGGGTCTGTCCAGCTTCTGGCTGTGAGCCAGGAACATCAGTCCCATCCAGAGGGGCTGTGTCTTCCCCCAGGCCAGAGAAGTCATCTAGCACTGGGGCAGGGCTGGGTGCAGGGCAGGAAAGGTCTCCCATGGGAGAGGGGAGAGGGCTGGTAGGGCTGGGCTCCAAGGCTGGGCACTCAGGTTCCGGGATCTTCTCAATCTCCATCTCGTATGGCTCAGCCTTATCTAAGACCTCCACAGTCTTCTCCATGGGACTCAGTGGGGAGGGGATAGACAGTGGCAGAGCAGGAGGCGAGCACTGGGAAGGAGGGGAGCTTTGGGGAGGCAGGGGATGCTGGAGGAGTGGAGAGCACTGAGGAGGAAGGGACTCCATCAGGATGGGAGAAGCCGGTCCCATTGGGGAGCTTGGAGATGGGGGAAGGATCATTGGCGGTACAGGTTCAGGATCAGTGCAATTTGCTTCCGGTGGCGGGCTGATGGGTGTCTCTAGGATGGGGGCAGCCAATGGTGACTCAGAGTCACTGTCTCCTTTGGCACCAAAGGGGTACTCTAACTCTCCCAAAGGAGACAGGGCTGGTGGGGCCGTTGCTGGGATAATGGGTGAGAGTGGAGGAGGAAGAGGATCTGGAGAGAAAGAGAAAAGATGAGGTTCTTAGATTAGATAGACCATAAAGAGCTGGACTATCCCAGAGAAAGGGGGTACAAACATCCCCTTACCTGATGGTATTAGCTGAGGTGACAAGGATGGCTCCCCAGAAGGGGACATAGGCAGATCCTCAGGTAGAGGGGACAGAGGTGGCTCCCCAGGCTCAGACAGGGCAGACTCTCCAAGCAAAGGAGATGATGGTGGTTTCCCAGGAGGGGGTAACAAGGGCAACTCCTCAGATGCAGGGCATGAGCCTGGAAGGGGCTCCTTAGGCTGGGGGGACAAGTGTGGCTCTTTAGGTACAGTGGACAGGCATGGCTCCTCAGATACAGGGGACAGGTGAGGCTCTTCAGGCTGAGGGGACAGACACAACTCCTCCGGCCGAGGGGAAAGATTCAGCTCCTCAGTCACAGGGGACAGGTGCGGCTCCTCGGGCACGGGGGACAGATGCGGCTCCTTGGGCGCGGGGGACAGGCATGGCTCCTCGGGTGCGGGGGACAGGCGCGGCTCCTTGGGCGCAGGGGACAGGCGCGGCTCCTCAGATGCGGGGAACAGGCGCAGCTCTTCAGGTGTAGGAGACAGGTGCAGCTCCTCAGGCCGCAGGCAGAGACGCGGCTCCTCAAGCAGTGGCAACAGAGGTGACTCTTCCAGTGGCAGGGACGTGAGTAAGTCCTCTGGTGGTGAGGAAGCAGGTGAGTCTTCATGTGGCAGGGACGTGGGTGAGTCCTCAGGTGGCGGGGACAGGCGCGAAGCCTCAGGTGGAGGGGATGTGGGAGATTCCTCAGGTGGTGGGGACAGGGGCGATTCCTCAGGTGGTGGAGACAGGCGTGACACCTCAGGCAGGGGGGACCGGCATGACACCTCAGGTGGGGGGGACATAGGTGAGTCTTCAGGTGGTGGGGACATGGGAGAGTCCTCAGGTGGTGGGGACAGACGTGATGCCTCAGGTGGTGGGGAGAGAGGAGACTCCTCAGGTGGAGGGGAGAGAGGAGATTCTTCAAATGGTGGGAAGAGACGAGATGCCTCAGGTGGTGGAGACATGGGTGATTCTTCAGGTGGAGGAGACATGGGTGACTCCTCAGGAGGTGGAAAGATGCGAGATGCTTCAGGGGGTGGGGAAGTAGGCAATTCCTCAGGTGGGGGGGACAGAGGAGACTCCTCAAATGGTGGGGACAGGGGGGATGCTTCAGGTGGTGGGGACAGGGCTGTCTCAACTGGGGGGGATGGAGGAGACACCTCTGGTGGAGAGAAAGGTGACTCCTCAAGTGGAGAAAGGGGTGATGATGCAGGTAGAGGAGACAGAGGAGACTCTTCAGGCGGTGGAGAGAGGGGTGATTCCTCAGGCGGTGGGGACAGGCGCGATGCCTCAGGCGGTGGGGATGTGGGTAATTCCTCTGGTGGTGGGGACAGGGGTGACTCCTCAGGTGGGGGCAGCAGTGGCATCTCCTCATTTAGGGGGGCCTCCAACTGGGGCTCAAGTTGGGCCCCTGTTCTCCCTGCAGACATAACACATTGTGTTCCTACCTAGCTCAGCTCTACTCCACGAAAGTGCAGGGTCTGGGACAAAGTAAAGCTGTCCCTTGTCAGAGAGTACAAAAGGATTCATTTCAGGGGCCTTCAAACCCTACTCACCTAGTGGTTTAGCTTCACATTGCAGGGGCCCCGGTTCCTTGGATTGCATAGAGGTCGCATGCCCACCCTTTGGCTGCCCTTGGCATGCAATGTACAAAGCGTTGGGCTCAGCAGTGGGGGTATCACCAGGCTCTGGGGATGACAATCTGTAGAGGATACAAAGGAGGAGGCACTGTAGCTCTCAGCAGCGATCAATTCCTAAAGAGCACACTGGAGCAAAGCATGAATGCCAGGAATCGTACACCTACCTCTAACATCAACTGGATTAACATGACCCCTGCGCCAAGCTTAGTACTTCCAACCTGTCTCCCCAACCTCCTCCAGTCCATATCTCTTACCGGCTACAGACAAGGGGATGCTGCTCCGCAACAGGACCAACAGGCTGACCTCCCTGGGCTTTGTGACAGCGGTGACAGAGTGAGTAGTTCTCAAACCATTCTGAGCTCGGACTCAGCTCAGCTGAGCCTGCCCCACAGACCCGGCATACCCGGCACGCCTAAGGAGAAGGAAGAAAGCAAAACAGGCATTGGTCAGTCAGCAGAAGCTAGAGAAGATCACAGGGCTTGTCACAGCAAAGAACTATGGGGTCACTGCAGGAGGCAAAACTAGGGAGAAGGCAGAATCAAGAGAGACTCACCTTACACTTCCAAGAGTGAGCAGGCAGTTCCTCCATGGGTGGTTTTAGGCAGAAGGTATGGTATCCTTTGTCACATGTCTCACACACCAACATCTTAGAGTCATTCCCAGGTTTCCTGCAGGAGCACAGGGCACATTACATTACAGGGTTATCTTTAAGATCCTTTCAACCCTAACCTATGCTTTGCCCAAGGTTCCCCTCCACCACTCCCATTCCTACCTGCAGGCTTGGCACACTTTGCATTCAGGGCACTGCCAGCCAGCACGCTTACGGGCAGTCAGAGCAGTATCCAGGCAGGCCCCGTGATAGTGATGCCCACAGCTGGTACAGAAGAACAGGTCACACAATTCCCCTGGCCCCTCACACACTGCACAACGAGCCTCCTCTGTAGTGGAGAGGGACAGAGAGCACAGTCTCAGCAGTACTGTATGGACAACAGGGATTCCATGGACATAGAATGAATTACTGAGTGTCTGCCTAACATATTCCAGGTGTACTATGCACAAACACAGTGTAAAACAAGACAGGCAAAGCCCCTGCATTCACCAAGTTTACATCTATTTTAATGGGGCAGACTGACCATAAATACAGACTTTGACAAGTGCACTGCAGAGCACAGAAAACCAGGCCTGACCGCCCACCATTGCCCTATGTCCAAAGAGCAGGGTTTCTCACCCAGGTGTGCGGCCCCCTCACTGTGCTCTGGGCATAGCAGCTGCAGTGTCTTCATGGATAAGAAGGAACCGCTGGCAGTCGCGCAGGGGAAGTGGTAAAGCCGTGAACATCCGGGTGAGCGGCAAGGGATGGAGGCACCGAGCCTGGTGCAGTGGGAGCAGCGCTGCCAGGGTGGAGACACAGCCTTAGTGCCAGCCAGCTCTCTCTGCAGCATCAGCTCTGCCTCAGTCTGTCCACTGTCTGCCTCCATCCTACCCTGACTCTCTAAAGGTCACCAGCTCTGCTTACCCGCCACAAACCCAACCCTGCCCCTTGTCTCTGTAATTTCCTCACTCCATTCTCACCTGTGAGATCCCTGAGAAGATGGCCTTGTCCACACCACATAGTTCTGGGCCCTCCTGTCCCCAGACGCCTGCTGACCACGCAGCACACCAATGGTGAGCCCAGCAGGGCCCTTCGCAGGTCGGAAGAAACAAACGCAAAGGGTTAACAAAAAGGTGGTTGCTGCCTCAGAACTGCCCAGTCCTTACCCCTTTTTCTGTCCAAGGCAATTACTCTACTTCCCCTCACTTACCTCCAGGTTCTCCTAGATGAGCAGGTGTCAGGCCTTCAGGGAAACCAATCTGTGACAGGTCTTCACTGGGCAATGCTGCTTCATCGGTCCCTGGGTCCCCCCCTGGCGACACCACTGGACACCGTGGCCAGTCAAATGGCAACTCAAAGCGCCGTAGTTCTCGCTGCCCATGCAAACTGGGCTCCCCACAGTTACAAAGAGCACAACGCCGCACTGGACCCTCACTGTGGACATATGAACATCAGCATCTGTCAATTGGCAGCCCTGACCAACCCATAACTGGGCATGCCCATGCTTTTCAAGTCACTTGTTTCCCTAAATCCACCTTCCTGAAAGCCCCGAATTCTCAAATCAAATCCCCACTTGTGTTTAACATGTTCATTTTCCCCAAACTAGTTACCTGCAGTCCTGGGATGGTTCCCGGAGCCTGGGACCCCCAGAACTGGGGACAGAGACCTCCACCACATGTGTGTTGGAAAGGTCTGGCTCAGTGGCACCTGATTCCTCAGAGGCTGCAGGTCCATCAGCTGAAGGATTAGAGCAGGATGTATCAGACATCATTTCCTATTTCATACCAGTCCTTTCACCAGACTAGCAAGATTATCCAAAACCTTTGGTGGGCCAGTGATGGCATTTGACTTTTGTCCTAAAGAACAAAGTTCTTCAAATGCCTGTCTACTAGGCAGATTTAGCTTATGCCTGTAGAATCCCAGGAAGAACAGAAAGCTGCCAGAAATCCCAAAATTTCCCCTCCTCACCTGCTGGTTCTGAATCTTTATCCTCACCAGACGGCTTCTGGCTGTCCATCCCTCTCTCCGACTGGGCAGGGCCCTCTCGGGGAGACCTGTCAGTGCCAACAGAGATATCTACATGTCTAGTAAGTGTCCCTACTTTTCCCAGAATCCCAGAGGCGGTTACAGTATCCAGATTCTACAGACATCAGAGTAAAGCCACACCAACGAACTCCTGTACTAATGACAAGGAAAGTCATTCTCCCTGACCTTTATCCCAGTGCCCATTTCCTCCCCAGATAAATTCACACCCTTGTCTCCTACTCTGGATTCGCATGGGATCCGTTCCCCTTTCCCACCTCCAGCCTCCTCTGAAGAAGGTCCCTAGGCAGTAATAGCATCTAAGCAGAAGCATATCTTATCTAAATCTAGTACTACCCTTTGCAGCATCTCTGAGTTCCTGGCTTCTGGTGGACCCTGTTCTCTGGTCTTCTTCCTCAAGTTTCAAGTCAGCTACCATCCTAGGGGGCCTGTCAGTACCAAGTCAGGTGTAGTCATGACCCAAGAAGCCTAAGTCCTGCCTAAATCCCTCTCCAGGGTCTTACAGTAGAACACACTATGAGAACCAAAGCCTAGCTATGGGTGAATCACCTCCAACCCTCCTGGTTTCAACCAAGGCATCCTTATCACAACAGAGGAAATTCTCCAATTTTTGACCACTGCACACCTAAATCTACCTCAGACCCACCCCTCACCCCCATCCCCTTCCAGTCTCTGTCCTGACTGAGCTGAGGGTCTCACCTAGCCTGAAGACCTTAGGTCGTTGCCCCTAGCAACGCCAACTGCCCTTCCTCCTCAGATGTCCCTAGTAGTTACCAGAAGTGGGCCCTAAGAGTTACTGAGCATGTGTAGCCAGGCCTGTGGCTAGGCATGCTGGGAGTTGTAGTCTCAGGAAGCACATTGCCACTTGGAGGAGTTCTAAGCCGGTCAGAACACAACAGAGCAGAGTAGCTTCCTTCCTTTTCCGTCAAGCAGGGTTTCCACACATACTATGTGTGAGGTGGGGAGCAGGGGGAAGGGTAACGGTCCCCTCTTCTAAGATATGACTGCTTGTACCACAGTCAGAGAAAGCGTATCAAAGTTATACCTAAGAAAGAGAAACTCACACCTTTAGATATATTTTCATAGACCTAAGTGAACTAATGCGCCAGACTGCAAAGCCATTTGAACTGCAAGGCCGGCGGTTCTAGCTCACCAGCTGCTCCTTGGAAACCCTATACAGGGTTGCTATGGGTTGGAATTGACTCCATGACACTTGACAACAACAAGGGATCTAAGGAGTCCTGGTGTGGCGCTGTGGGTTAATGCGCCAGAATGCAAAGCCATTTAAACTGCAAGGTCAGTGGTTCAAGCTCACCAGCTGCTCCTTGGAAACCCTATACAGGGTTGCTATGGGTCAGAATCGACTTGATGGCACTTGACAAGAACAAGGGAACTAAACATAGTATTAAAAAAAAAAAAAATTATAGCGTAAGGAGACTATCAGGGGTGGAACAGGAAAAGGATCCTTTTAAGAAAAATGAAGTAATGGGTGAGAGTGCCAACAGCTTTTAGAGAAAAGAGTTTAGGTACAGAAAAATAATATCCAGTGTTTCCAGAGAACGTAAGGGGAGGGATCTCTAAAATAGAACCCTAATAAAAGTTTGAGAAATTTGTCTCTCATCTTTTCCATTCCTTTTGTTTAATCAGAGGGACCATATATCTGCCTTAGGATAATCCATCTTCCCAAACTGGAGGAAAATACCCAAGTCAGGCCTTGGTGACTAAGCCAAGTAAGACCACAGAACCCTCAAAAGTGTCCAAGATCTGGTCATTAATTGGCTAAGAACTGCAACAGTACTCCCTGAACTGGCCCTCCACTTCCTAAAGGTAGCAATGCCCTTCCTGAGACATGTCACAGGTAAGGAAATTCTTGTCCTTTATCACCCCCCCCCCAACTGTCCCAGTCTACTAGATAGGGAGAGTGAAGCATCCAGCCCCACTTCATCTTTTCCCAAACCTGCCACACCTGAACGCAAAACAAGGTGGTCATCTGGCTGGCCCATAGAAAAACTGTACCCATAGGAAAGCTGCTGTAGAACTTCAACCTACCCTCCTCCCTACCTCCAAACATCTATGGGATCAGGACACAAGCCAGGTCTCTCTTCCTGTCCAATCATTCAAGACCTGGTCACACCCAAGATGATCAAAGGGGCTTCAAAGTTTCCTAAATGTTTGCATCTTACAGTCTTACCACCATTGTCCCCAAAGATCTCTTACCCTTTTTGCTCTCAAAGGCGAGGCCAAAGGAATCACAAACACAAAGAAATAAAAGCAACAGTGATAATACAGTGGGTGGGAGGAGGACCGCCTCACACAAGGCCAGATGGACAAATTCCTCTGCCCTCCTCCGAGGGCAGCCCTCTCAGGCTAGTAAGTCTGGCCCTACTCGAGGTACAGAAACCACTTTTGTCCAGCCTTGGAGACACAGTACCAACATCCTCCAAAGCCATAGCACCATTGGGCTTATGAAAGTTGAGAGATTGAAAAGCAAGGAGGAAGAGTATCCCTCCCTCCCCCGCCCCCGCATCCCTGTCCTTAAACAGAGGGAGCTGGGTTCTGGAGATCCCAGAGAGCAAGTATAGATCTAGGTAGTACAACTGGGCTGGTACAACTCAGTCCAAAGCCTAAGAGGCCCAAACAGCAAGGAAGAAGGCAAATAGTTGAGTTATTTTAACCTACCCTCCTCCATGCCTCCATCCCAGACCTATAGCTTTCAACTCCCATTCACAGCCAAGGGGGAAATGGAGACTTGGAGAGGTGAAAGGCTGAAGTAGGCCCTTGAGTGAACAGCTCTTCAGTAGGACTCAGGACTTCCTGGTTCCCAGCCTGAGAATCAAACCACACCTCTCTCCACCCCCATTTTAGGTCAGCCTTCCAGGAAGGATCCAAATGGCAACACTGGCCCTGTCGACCCTCCGGACTGTCCCTGGGTCATCTTGGGGTCAGTCACAGCTAACAAAAAGAAATTGAATCCTAAAATAGTCATTTCAAGACAGAGAATAGGCGGAACCCTCCACAGGAGTCAAGGACAGAGAGCACGGGTGACAGCTCACCTCACTCCACTACCCTGTGCCACCTCTCACTTTGGGGGTTACCACACAGAAATCTTTCAATGGCTAAGCCCCCTATTTTTCCCTTTCCAAGACCAGGTTCAAAGTGACAGAGTGTGTGTATGTTGGAGGGGGTGGAGTGAGGAAGCAAAATGCACTAGGCAAATCCCTGCTAGGCAGCATGACAGGTGTGAGAGGGGCTGTCCCAGCCCAGGGCCCAGAGGCCGAAGGCTCATGCTGTACCCTCCGTGCACGCACACCTCCTCCCAAGGCTGCAAACACTGGCTTCCAGCAGAAACAGCTCTGGTCTGGTCATTTCCCCTCCAAAGAGGTACAGGCCACCCTATTCAGCAGGACTCAGGCAGGAGCTGTGGACCTGCTCACATTCTCATGTGAGAAAATGCCTGGGGAGGTCTGAAAGTATCCTGCAGGGTTGTCCAGGACTCATGGGCAGCCTGCTTTCCACAACAGCCCCAGAGAAAGCAAAAGACAAAAGCCATTTTTTGCAGCCCACATTCACAGGGAGCAAATCTCAACAGCCTCCTCTATAATCCCTTAGAGATTATGTCCATCCCGAGAGGAGAGGAGGAAAAGCAGGTTAAGACAGCACTAGGCCTTGGGCTCTAGGGTCACTCTGCCAAGAGGATCAGAGTCAGAGCTACCCCTCAGCCCCACCTCATTCTTGCCCCAGTCACCCCCTTCAACACACAAGTCAGTTTCCACACACTCTCCCCTTTGCCCAATGAAAGGCCTGGTGAAAGATCTGGGGTTCCTTGAGTTTCCCAAGAACAGCTTTGGGTGCCTGGCTGGGTAGAACAGCCTTAAAGTCCAACCTGGCAGTAAGTCTAACCTGGCAGTGACGCTCTCCCTATCCCAAGTTCCGAAAGGCCCACAAGGAACCCTGCGGGAGAGGCAGCAGCCTGGGATTGGAACTGGCATCGGGGCCTGGGTCCTAGTTTAGTGGAGCTCCCCCCCAACACAAAAATAAACAGGCAGCGAAGCGATCTGGCCAGGTTCCCAATCTCCCGTGGTTCCCTGAACCCCCCGTCTTTAAAGAGGCACACCCCAAGACACAAGGCCTCAGTACTGCCCTGGCGACTGGCTCAGGTTCCCTTGACAAACCCAGCCAACGGAACCCTCCCCAATTCTGGCAGCCCCTTCTCCAACCTAAAGGCCAGCTCCGGCCAAGATAGTCCATCTGGCTGCGCCCCCAGTCCAACCCTTTCTGGGCCTTGGCCGGGCGGACTTCACTCACCTCTTCACAGGGCGATCCAGAAATCCTCATCCGAGAACATGGCCAGAGCCCGGGCCGCTCCCCGACCTCCAACCGCCAGAGCGATCACAGCCGCCCCCCGCACGGGGGGGCCTAGGGGGGCCAGAAACGGTAAATCCAGGTCGGAGTGGCCACCCTCCCGCCCCCCCCAAAAAAAACAAGAAGCCAAAGAAGGGTTCTCTGCCTTAGGTTCCAGCAGTTTAGGTTTCCATGGACAGCCCCAGGGCGGCGAATCCCGAGCGGACACAAAGAGAGCACCGGTGGCTTTGATCTTGGGCGAGCAGGCTCCGCATCCGCGTCGTCGGGCGGCCTCTTAGTCCCAGGGCTGGGCCAGCGCCCCGGCCGCCCGCGCCGGGCTCGGGCGGAACGTCGAGGCTCTCCAGATGGAACGTCGAGGCGCCTCCCCAGCAGCCCGGAAGGAATGCCGCGCCGCCCGGCGCCGGGCCCGGATAGAACGTGAGACCCTCACAGGAGCGCCGAGCCCCTATCCCCGCCCGGGCCGGCGCCCTAGGGCCGTGCGAGCTAAGGCGACGCGAAGCCGGCGGGGCCGCGGGGTTGGACCTGACACACACCCAGCGCCGGGCTCCTAGATCCCAAGCGCTCGCCCTTGGCGGCTTCGAGCCCCCCACCTTCTGCTCCCCCCGGGGAAGG